AGGAGGACAAGGACAGCGAGGACGAGTCGGAGGACGAGGAGAAGGAGGAGGAAGAGGACAAGGAGAAGAGTACGTCTCTTCCCTCCCACCCGACTATTCTCACTCTCAACTAATGCCACCGTGTGCCTGTTTCGAGATTTCTCCCGTCCAAAGTCCCCCCCTTCAAGTCCTTCCTTCCATCCCTTCTCACAAAGTTGCCCATAAGTTCCTTTTCATTAAGTCGCTCTTCTCTCCCTCCCTCGTGCGTGGCGGCGTGGCGGTGGCCTGGCAGAGCCCAAGACGCGAGTGGAGAAGCGCACCAAGTGGGAGTGGGAGCTGCTGAACAGCGTCAAGGCCATCTGGCTGCGCAGCCCCAAGGACGTCACCGACGATGAGTACCGCGAATTCTACAAGTCGCTCGCCAAGGTAACCCCGCCCCCCTGGATCCCCAGCCCCCCGCCCCCTGCCCCCTGCCTCATGTGTGCCATGCTGTACGGGCTGCCCTTCCCCTCATCCCCTGCTCCCTTCCCTCATGCTCCCCCTCCCCTGCCCCCTCCCGCTTCCCCACTGTCCCCCCCTCCCTCCCCTCGCGCCAACAGGACTACAGCACGGACAAGCCCCTCTCATGGACTCATTTCTCCGCAGAGGGTGACGTGGAGTTCAAGGCCGTTCTCTTCATCCCACCGCGCGCGGCCTACGACATGTACGACAACTACTACGCCAACAAGGCGGCGCTGAAGCTGTACGTGCGGCGCGTGTTCATCAGCGAGGAGTTCGAGGAGCTGCTGCCCAAGTACCTCAACTTCCTCAAGGGCCTCGTCGACTCCGACTCGCTGCCGCTCAACGTGTCTCGCGAGATGCTGCAGGCGCACAGCAGCCTCAAGACCATCCGCAAGAAGCTCGTGCGCAAGGCGCTTGATATGATCCGACGGCTGGCGGAGGACGAGGAGGAGGCCAAGGCTAAGGCCAAGGATGAACGCGAGAAGGAGGGCATTGCCGAGGATGGTCAGTACCCGCCCCATCCCACTTGCCGTTCATCCCGCCCCCTCGTGTGCTGTATGAACGTGGCACCCGTTGTCACCCTTCCACCACCCGCTGTCACCGGCCTACACGCTCACTAGTTTTCTTAACTAGTGATCCCGTGCCTGCCTCCCATTTCCCTCTCACAACCCCCCGAAACCCCATTCCCCTGTTGCACCTGCCTGCTCCCATCCCTCCAGACAAGGAGCGCGTGCCATCAGACGCGGAGACGCAGTACGAGGACTTCTGGCGCGAGTTTGGGCGCGCCATGAAGCTGGGCGTGATCGAGGACTCGTCCAACCGCATGCGCCTCGCCAAGCTGCTGCGCTTCAAGAGGTGCGGTGCCCTAGCAGTTGCATGGTGGGGTTATGAGTGCAGGGCTTAGTAAGGGTGGGTTCAGGGGGTGGGAGGTGAATCAAATGTGCGAAGCATGAGCCTTTCTCCACGCATCTCCACGTCCCACCCAGCACACCACCTCAAAGTCTTTCCATCCTCCCCACTGTCCCTACCTCTTCCCCCTCTCCCTGCCAGCTCGAACGACCCAGAGAAGCTGACGAGCCTGGAGCAGTACGTGTCACGCATGAAGCCGGGGCAGAAGGCCATCTACTACGTCACGGGGCCCAGCCGCGAGCAGCTGGAGCGCTCGCCCTTCATCGAGAAGCTGCTCAAGAAGGGCTTCGAGGTGCTCTACCTCACCGAGCCCGTGGACGAGTACCTCATGCAGAACCTCACTGACTTCGACGATAAGAAGTTCCAGAATGCTTCTAAGGAGGATCTGAAGCTCGGTGGCAAGAAGAGCAAGGAGAAGGAGAAGGCGATGAAGGAGGGCTTTAAGGACCTGCTGGCGTGGTGGAAGGAGCAGCTGGGCAGCAAGGAGGTGGAGGCGGTGAAGCTGAGCGAGCGCCTGGCGTCGTCCCCGTGCGTGGTGGTGACGAGCAAGTACGGGTGGAGCGCCAACATGGAGCGCATCATGACGTCGCAGGCTCTTGGTGACCCGTCGCGGCAGTCGTACCTCAAGGGGAGGAAGATCCTGGAGGTCAACCCGCGCCACCCCATCGTGCAGCAGCTCAAGGAGCTCGTTGCTGCTGACCCCAAGGTGCGTCGGGAGAGGGGGTTGCTACTAATCGGTTTTTATGGCTCTCCATGAACTGAAGGATTCTAGTTCAGGGTTTTTTTATTTCCTTACAGGACGGCTCTCTGGTGCCTGAATCAGTGCAGCAGTGCAAGTTGACGGTGCAGTAGGGCCTGGCATTGGGTGTTTTTGTGTGTCTGAAACTCCTGTTTCGAGTTTCTTCCACACCCTCGTATCTTGGCCTTCTGAATGCTGTGTCCCTGAATCTGTGCTTGCGTGCGTGTGCGTGTGCATTTGTGTTGGTGCACGTGTGTGTCTCTCTCTGTCTGTGCATGCAGGATGAGACAGCAGTGAGTGTGGCGTCAACGTTGTACGAGACAGCACTGATCGAGTCGGGCTTCTCTCTGGAGGACCCCACCAAGTTTGCAGCGCGCATCTTCTCGGCTCTCAAGACCAACCTCAAGATTGATCCCGACGCCGGCGTGGAAGAGGAAGAAGAGGATGAGGAGGGGACTGAGGAGGGCAGCTCAGAGAGCAAGGTGTGAGAACAGTGGTGGTGACCTGTAGGGCGTGTGGGAATGCAGGTGTGGGCATGCTGGGCTGGGTAGGGCTGGGGATGGCTGGGAGGGGTCATATTATGGGTGTCCTCTCTTTCTCGTGTCTGGTGCACTTGAAGATTGTTCCTCCTCTTCTCTCCCTCCACTCATCTGTCCCCCTTCTTCCTATGCTCAATCGTCGTGTGTGTGCAGGGTGAGGATGGAATTGAGATGATCAGTCTGGGCGGCGACGACGAGTCAGCAGAAGATGATGCTGACGTGGACAACGAGGCACCTGGGCTGGAGGATGCTGATGACAAGCACGATGAGCTCTAGTTGACACGGGCATGAGTTTTGTAGGGGATAATTATATGTGCTTCCATTGATTGAAACTTAATGACATAGCCTACATGAATCCTGGTCCACAAATTCATGTCATATCTGGCTGCAGTTCCACATGATTGTTGCACACAGCTGCACGACTCACCATCCGTCCCAGCGTCCAATTTTCCTAAGTGTTGACACAACATGCATAAATCCCGTGAACATCCTGATGTCATCATGCATGCGCCCCCCCCCCCCCCCAACCCCCCAACTCACCCACCCTCTAAACATTTGTTTAGGCAATCAAAAGCTCCCGACCTCAAGAGTTCTGTATATGTATATAAATTGTTATGGGTGCAATGCTCGAGGTAGCGAGGGTTGCACTAGAATGTCAAACGAGTACAAAGTATGAGCGAAGGCATGAGCGAATACTAATACGCGAAACATGCAAACGGTAACACGGTGCGTGCGAGCTAGCTAGTGCTACGCGAGAGGTTCGGGCTAGTCCCGAAGCGTAGGCCGACTCGGCTGTTCCAGCAGCGCGAGGTTTGGTGAAACAGTGCGCGCGAAGTTCGCGAAGCCCCGTTAGCAGTAACGAGCGAACAACGGCTGTTGCTTTATGCGATGTTGCAAGTCTCGGTAAGGAATGTCGACAAAATTCCTTACAGTGTGCAGGATTCACATGCTAAAGAAAATGAGCCCAATGAGAAAATAACTAATTGTACTATTGAACTCAAAAGACCGAGACTTTAACTAGCAAGAAGAGGACTCTGTGCCGAATTTGGTTAGGAGGGGTGACGAAAGGTTTGGGGCGGAAGTGCACGCCCAACATTTGCATTGTTCCCTCTAAAGTGCTTTAGGGTGCGTAGTAGTGTGTATCCTGCCATTTCTGTTCCTGTGTAACTGTAAAATGAAAGTGTTTCAGTCAACAAGGGACCTTCTGTCAGCATCCTGTAAGTTTCCTAGGTAATTTCATTTTCTGCACAAACGCGTCAAAACGGATTCAGAAGATCGAGATATGCTGACGTGGTAACTATTCAACTGAGGTGTCGTCACCGCAATTTTCGTGACCTGCTGTATTGCGCGTGCTGTCGCGTGGACGTGGTATGCGTTGTCATCAATTTGCTGCTTTGATTCTGATATTGTCCATCGGCCAGTGCAGATCGAACAGCTCACACAGGTAGCATGAACACCTAAAAAAAAACGTGAAAATAGGAAATTATGAGCATACACGTATATTCAGGGTTTCGGGTTTAAAGTTAGCAATATCAATTTCACACGCATATTTTGCTGTCACCTGACAGCCTGTTGTGGATAGGCTGCCCTTGCCCCACAGTTATGGCTAATGAATGATTTCCTTGCCGCGCGTATCTGAACGACAGTTACACCTACCCAAATTCTGCCGACTTTCAATAGAAGAGGTCGGCTTGAGTCGAGACGACACATCCCCGCACACACACACGCTCATCAGCTCGCAGGCGGCCAGTTGCCGCCGTCAGGTCAGCCGACCGACTGTGTTGGAAACTGGTGGGCAATTGCGGTGGTTGGCGCTGCTTGGAGCCCCAAAACTGGGAGCAGGCAAGCTGACGCACATCTAGCTGCAGCCTGCGGTTCGACTGCGACCATTACAGCGTGGCGTGCAGTGCAGCACATCCATGTCTGCTGGCCGAACGTACTTTCTGGCGCTAAAAACTGCACTCTCTCCGAGCCTGCTAATGGACCAAAACCGTGCCGAAGCCGTCCCATGTGTTCGTGGCTCACACCGAGCCTTTTCACATACGAGCAGGCTGGATGCATGGCTTTGTAACCGCCGAAGCTGTGGCTGGTGTGGCGAATCAGAGGCGTGGTCCGAGCCGGAATTTTGCGAACGTGAACCTTCCTTACCATATCAGACCTTTCATTCTTGCCGAACCAGCTATGGTTTGTAACAGACCAGGCTTTCCGGAAGAGGCAACTTCACCCGTCCGATGGTGACAGGTGTACATGTCGACTTTGCGAATCGACGACATTCGGTCCCTCGATTGCCGTCGACCTTTGCCAGCTTGATCTTGCCCTCCATGCCTGGCCACATGATTGGCGCTGAACTCAAGCAGCACACGGACCCTTCCGCCGTCCCCCAGACCTGCACCGGCTGCCGTCGACCATTGTTGTGACATTGTCCTCCTCACTTGCCCGCGACCAACCTGCATCCTGTTGTGGCTTCGGCGCGTGTTTCTACTGGGCAACTTGCCGAACCTCATCCTTCGGCACAATGAGCCTGCGCGCTCCCCCAGTTATTGTCCGCCCCGCTCTCTCTTGGTCCTTCCATCGCACCTCCAGTCCAGCCCACAAGATACACGTGAGTTTCCCCCCACGTCTCCCGCACCGTACCCCCACCTCTCTGGTCCCAGTCTTCCCCCATCCCACCCCTTTCCCCGCATCCGGTTCCTGCTCTTTCTCCGCCCACCAACACTACCCTCTCTTCGCCGCATCTCCACTTCTCCCGTACGCCGACCCCACCTAAACCAGTCTGGCCTGCTGTTCCCTCGATCCCAATCCCAACTGAGGATCACATTGTTCCTCGGCCTTTGCTGAGTCTTCTGTCCACACATTCTCTTGGGTTCCTTGTTTTCGGTGCTCCCAAAGGCTCTCATTTCTGCAGCCTTGAGTTTGTCCACCATAACTGCTACCTCCTCTCTTTCAACTGATCGCCATATTGGAAGCATGCTCGCCGCCTCGCCATCGTTCGTGCATCACCCGCTTCAGGATCGCTGGCATCAGCAGCAACAGCATCAGCATCAGCAGGCTGTCTTCTCGAGCCCTCAACCCGTGTTTGAAGCGCACCTCCTCTCCGCCAGCCCCGCGCCTGGCGTCCCCGACAACAAGCTGCGCGAGCTCGCGTCCATGGCGTCTCTCGCGAACCACCCCGCGGCGCCGTCGCCGCCGCCGCCTGCATCGCACGCTCAGTCGCCGCCCGCCGCTTTCCCCGACCCGTGGAACGCGGGCTCTGACTCTCCGTGCGCGCAGTTCGCCGCTCAGAGTCCCCCCGACGGCCCGCCTCCTCGCCTGTCCACCGGCTGCAACGAGGCTCTCCCGTCGCCGATCCCCACGCCCCCGTGCACGTGCTACTCGCGGCTGCCGGCCGGATGCGCAACGGATCCGCACGCGCCGACCGTTAAGTACATCGGCGTGAGCCTGCGCGGGCGCAACCGGTGGGTGGCGGAGATTAAGGACAACAACCACGGCGTGCGCAAGTGGCTCGGCACCTTCGCGTGCCCCGTGCAGGCCGCGCAGGCCTTCGACGCGGCGGCGCGCGCCATCCGCGGCCCAAAGACGAAGGCGAACTTCAAGCGCGGCGACGCGGAATTCGTGGAGGACGTGCCCGAGGTGCTCTCCGTGCTCGCGTACTGCGCATCGGGCAAGCCGCCACAGAGCAGCGCGGCAAACCTGGCTGGGTCGGCGGACGGGTTCGCGCGGAGAACGTCTCCGAAGCAGTCGTCTCCCGCTGGTCCTCCGGGCAGAAGGCCCGGCAGGGGCAAACCACCCTCCCCCTCCGCCGGCCCCTTGCCGCTCGCGATCGGCCCGCCGTCCATCGCCGCGCCGTCCTACGCGGCCGCGCCGTACGCAGTGGACGCGACCCAAGCCGGCGCCACGCTGCATCATGCCGCCCCGCGCCTGTCCATGCCGTCCCCGTCGTCAGCGCTGGTCGCGCCAAGCCCCCTGCAGCTCACCGGCAGTTTTAACGCCGAAGCGTCGCCGCTAACGGCCTTCCCGTCTGCGCGCGCGCCGCATGAGATCGTTGTGAAGCGCGAAGTCCTGGCGCCGTCCTCCCTGCTGCCCGTCGCGGCGTTCGCCGAGGCGCGCGCGGCGAGCGAGCACGCGGTGATTGTGCAGCCGGCGCACGCAGGCGGGCGCGCGGCGGCGGGCTGCGCGCCGCCAGCCGTAGTCGACGGCGTGACGTGGGTGGTGGCGGAGCCGGAGCTGGCGACGCCTTGGGGCGCGCGGACGGCGGAAGCCGGCAGGTTCCCGCAGCTAGTGGCGCCCGCGCCCCACGCGCCACACGCGCCGTATCACCCACCTGCCCCGCAGTGGCGCGACGCGCAGGGGGAGCAGCGCGAGGTGCGGTGCAGGAGGGGGGAGGCACAGGCGGGTGCGGGAGAGGAGGGCGGCGCTCCAGCCATCGAATGCGCCTCGCTGTGGTCGCCTTGTCGACCCGCTGATGCCAACAGGGACGAGGACGCATTCGCACACACGCCGTCCGCGCAGCCAGATGACATGGATGTCCGATCCTCTAGCCACGTCAGGCTCGGCAAGCGCAGGTCGCCCGAGCCTGCGGGAGAGCTCCAGTTAAATCGTTTGGTACGGGACGCGGAGGGTAGCATGCATGGAGGCATTGGAGGGGTGCTCTCTCTGCTGTCTGTTGGAGCCCTCCAGTCGTCCAGCGAGAGGCTCGGCGGCAGGCTCGGTGGTGAGAGTTTGAAAGTGAAGGGGATGAGCCTTTCCTCGCTCTTGCCTGTTGCCGAGCCTGCGCTGACTCCCGAGGAGTTTGGTGAGCTTCGGCAGAAGCTTGGGTGGAAGGTGGTTCGGATGGAGGACCTGGAGGAAATCCCAAGGGTGGCTCGGGAAGCACTGTTGAGGTTTAGGCAGGACAAGGACTTCACCATGCTGTCACTGTAGTAGACACTGTAAGGGTGCATTGGCAGGTAGGTAGGCATGTCAGAATATTCTAATTATGTGTAACTTAGAGCGTATTTATCCTCGTATCAAGAGAACCTCGTATCAACAGAACCTCATATCAAGATTGTACTTTTAGCCTGGTAAAACTAGCGAGAGGTTTCGGGTTTAGGGGAATTTTCTGTGGGAGGTTGATATGAGGTTCTCTTGATACGAGGATAGGAATACGGTACGCTCTTAGTAGCTGTAAAGTAGGTATCAATAACATGAATTTTCAGACCATCTGCCTGAAGGGATGTTAGGCTGCCTAACCTGAAGGTTAATGGCGTAAACTGAACACCAGGAGGCCATGCATAGAAAGGAGCTTATCAATGGGAGAGGAAGGCTGTAGTTTTGGCATGGGCGCATACTGAAACTCATAAATTAGCTGGTGGGTGTGACACTGCAGGTGTATGTGACGGGTGGGGTGGCCCATCATGCAGGCAAGTGATTATGCATAAAGTAGACAAGTAGACTGGATCTACAATCTACGGTAGGTTATGGCTCGGAAGGCAGCTTCTTGTGCAGCCAGAGGTTGAGCCCGCCGTCCAGATGGAGAATGCTGCTGAACCCCGCCACATGCAGCTCATAGCACGCCTTGAGCGACCTGCCACACCGTGCAGCAGGGCCATTGAGTGCAACACTGCCTCGTCAGCCTTGAAACGGCAGGTGTGCAACAACACAACAAGGTATCATAACAAGGCGAAGAACAGTGCAGCCATAAATGCTTCCCAGTATCTTTCTCCGCCACTTCCCCCACCTCCCAACCCCCAATGTTGTCCGGGTCTCTGTATTCCCCATCCATGCCTAACGTTCTCTCCATGCCTCAACAACACCCGCCCCACCCCCCCTCCCCCTTCCATACCTGGATTGAATGCCGAATCGCTTGTCCGGATCCCTGAACTCCATGCCTTTCCGCATCGACACGTTCTGCAGCGTCCCCCCTCGCCCGCACATCACAATCACAGTGCGGCTCTTATCGCCCCCGACCGCCGCCTCCGCCTGCTTGAGCAGGTCCGGGTTCCGCTCCGTGCCCTTGAAGTCCCCCATCGCAGCGTATCCCACGCGGCGGGCCCACGCCGTGAGGTCGCTGCCTTGGATGAGGCGGAAGAGTGGCGCACTCGCTGCTCCTTGTGCATGCACCTCCTCGTAGTCCCCCGCTTCTCTCACGTCCAGCAGCACTGCCCGCCCGCTCCCACTGCCCTCCCCGGCCTCGTTGTCGCCGTAGGCCATGGCTGCTGCTTCCTCTGGTGACACGCTCTTGAGCCCGAGCGCTGTGAGCTCATTGAACACCACTGGGGAGGCGAGATGGAGGACGGGGGGGAGGGTTGGGGGAGGGAGGGGTGGAGGAGGGAATGTGTTCATGTGGAAGGAGGGGAAGGGAGAGCGAGATGTGGCAGGTGTTGGAAGAGGAGGAGTGGCTTTAAATGTGGCATGGTGATTGTGGGCGGCAGGAAGCGCAGTGGCAGCACAGAGATTCTCTCAAGCTGCAATGATGGTTGCGCTGGAAGCTTTGTAGCGTTGGCTTGCACGCAGCGACGACCGCAGTGCGAGGGAATGAGCTGTGCTCAGTAAAGACGGAGCACAATAAGTGCGGAGTGCTGTGATTACTGGGAAAATGGGGACATCTGTTTAGGTTGTACCTCTTTATTGACACTATAGTAAATGTACAATGGATACAAGGCAAATCCAGAGACCTAGTGTAAGGAAAGACACTATAGTCCTATTGTTTAGATTGTACCAACAGACCACATACATACTCTATCAGCAGCAGGCCACATACATACGGTACCAGCAGGCTACATACATGATCTATGAAGAAGGCAGGCCACACACATACCCTAGCAACAGCAGGCCACATGCACACCCTATCAGCAGCAGGCCACATACATACCGTACCAGGAGGTGTATTCGAAGGAGCCGTCGAAGAGGGTGTCTACTCGCCCCTTCTTCGGTGCGCTCTCCTGCGCAGGGCAAGGAATTCATTGCATGGCGCGAAATTCATCGAATTGCGTTTAATTATTGCATAGCGCGAAATTCATCGCATGGCGTTGGATTATTGCATGGCACGAATTTCATCGCATGGGACAGCGACTGTCGCACGGCACAGTGAATGCTTGCAGGGTAAGGAAATTAATCGCATCAGGAATTTGGCATGCAGCTACACCTACCTTATCCGACGCCTGTGCCCGCGGCTGAACCACGAGAGCGCGTCCTTTACCATTGGTGGCAACAGCTAGTGCCACGTGGCTGCGCACACACTTTCGAGTGACGAACGCTGACGACGACAGGGGACACGTGCTAACGCGAAGAGTGCACGCCATGGCGTCGCACTGTCGTCTGTGGCGCCGCTACTATGCGGAGCTTCTCGTGTTTTTACACAAGGCTGTAGGAATGCCGTGAAGGTGGGGCTGTGGGTGCATACGTCGAGCAGTGTGGAAGGAATGTCGTCAATGAGTTCGCTTCGTTGATGTTTCCGCTCGCCATCGCTGTCGCCTGGCTTCGCATGCCTATCAGGCAACGCCAAAACGGTGGTTGGCAAATGATGCCCCACAGCCTCCCCTAATGTCTCTTTCTGGAAACTCTGCATTTGTTTTATGAATGTTTTTGGAGTGTAGAGTTTCTGTGGAACTCGGGAAACCCAAGATGTCATTTACAAACTAGAGGGCCTGACAATTATGGCCAACGTGGCGGAATATGGGATTGTGGGATCCAGCCAGCGAATGGGTTGGGCGCAATTAGCCAGCACAGCAGCGTCTTGGAAACGGCCAGACTGGGCAAGAAAATGCCACGTGTCCTTCAACCCGCTCGGCGCAATCGAAACTGTCGCACACGGCTAAGGGGATGAGATGTATCCCATATTATCGTATCCCACCGTATTTTAATTCTTTCAAATCCGTTTCACCCCACTCGGAGCTCCTATGGATCACTACCAGTGATCACACTTGATTACGCCGAAGGCTAACAGACGGATAGCGTTTGACATTTCTGAGATAGCATTCGAGGTTGACGGTGGAACGAAGCAAGAGCCTTCAGTGTAGCACATCCTCCTCCATCCCACTGCTTGAGAACCGTCTGCAATGGCTGCCGTAACGTCGCTCGTCATTGAAATTGGTTCCTGTAGCATCACGGCAGAGAGGCTTGTCTCGCAAGCCCAGGCCCCAAAGCTGCTGCAGCGTCCACGATCAGCGTTCTTCGCGCAATGCCCGCCGAAAGCACTCGTTTCTTGCAAGTCTCAAACCACGAGACGCGTGCTCCCAGCCATAGCAGCATCCGACAGCAGCACCGAGACGTCGGCGGCTGCGAGCGGCGGAGCAGCGGAGTATCTGGAAGTGTTGATAGAGTCGGACGCGGGTGTGAGCTATGATCACCTTCAGGACAAGCTCGCCGCGGGGCAGTGGGAGGAGGCAGACAACGAGACTCGGCGGCTGCTGTGCGTGCTAGCCGGGGAGGCCGCTGCGAAGCGCAAGTGGGTGTACTTCACGGAGGTACAGAACATTCCCGATAAAGACCTCCTGACAATTGACCGGCTTTGGCGGGCGTACAGCAAGGATCGGTTCGGGTTCAGCGTGCAACGGAAAATGTGGCGCGCTATGAGCCGACAGTGGAAGCCGCTGTTTCTGCAGATCGGGTGGACCTACGGCCCCAACAGCACGTACAAGAAATTCCCGATGGAATTTACGTGGGAGCTGGACGCGCCCGTGGGCCACCTGCCGCTGACGAACGCCCTGCGAGGCACGCAGCTGATTGAGAAGCTGTTCACGCATCCCGCGATGTCCGCGTTCGACGCCGACGAGACGATGCCGGACCTCGACACCGTGCCCAGCGTCGTTGCCGCGGAGCCGGAGAAGGGCGCCGCCAGCCCCAGCAGCAGTGGAGCCGTGGGAGGTACGATGTTTGACGAAGGCTTCAACAGCGCCGATTACGGGTTTTGAAGGTCTAGTTTGTACGCTCGGCTTGCTGGCCTATGCGACTTCCAGTACGCCCCTGCGCACGAATCTGTATGGATTACGAATTCCACTTGTGAGCTTTTCCAAAGAAGCAATCTTATGTCAAAGACCAACACAATTCTGATTATGATTTATTCCGCTGCACATGCCAACACACAGCCTCGCACACACACTATCCCTCTCGCCCCCGGACAATCCCAAAACCGCGCAACCCCTCCCTTCCCCTCCCACTCCCCTCTCCCTTCCCTTCGCCCTCTAACCACACCATTCACCTGGCATTTGCCACCCCAGTTCAGCACAATCCGCGTCTGTCCCTTTTGGCCCCAAACCTCTGATCCCTCACCGTCTCGTTTTCCCTTCAGCTGCTGTCTAGCCCTGTAACCTTGTTAGTTTTCCGCCCATTTCTATCAATCCTCTTCCCCCTGTCGTAGACCTCCCACCCACACCACCACTCCCGTCATCCCTCACTCATCAGCCTATAGTCACCACGCGTTTGGCGCAGTCACCATTGGACACGTCAAATGTATTTTTACCATACAAGGGAAGTTTCACTCGTTAGTGTTCTGACTTGATTCACGAGTTCCAAGACTTGGGTCCGCCAATCTACCGTATTTCGGAAACTTTACTCTAGATTTCTTAGTCTTGAAGTTTCATCTCCCTGGTTTTTCAATCGCCTCCACAAAGCAAGGCTGCATTCCTGCAACCTCTAGTGCCAGAAGTGATCAAATGAAAAAACAGCATTCAGTGCATAAATTGATGTGTCATAATCATAATCTACATTAGGTTCTGAAACAGAGAAAAATAACAACGAACCACACCCTTTGGTCATGGCTGATTGCATTCTTACCAGCGCAATACACCATGCTAGTGTTTGGATCATCCTTCCCGTAGATGGATAACAGAAACAAGGTCATGGAGTATTCGACTAGTACCCTGCAGTCACCCCTCCATCCACAACTAGAGTCTGCCCTGTGACATAGCTCCCAGCATCTGAGGCCAGGAAAAGGACCGCATTTGCCAGTTCTTCTGGCTGACCCAGCCTACCCATTGGGATCTGCTGCTCCATGCGCTTCCTAGCCTCTTCCACTGTAACGCCCCACGCTTCTGCCCGTTTGGTGGCAAGATTGGCGATCCGTGCCGTGTCGAAGCTGCCTGGTGCCACGTTGTTGACTGTGATGCCGTGGCAGGCTAGGTCCTGCAGTTGAGGCAGTGGGAAGAACATGGCCGGAGAGTGGGGCAGGGAGTGATGTTGGGGCAGGAGTGAAGTTGGGGCATGGACTTGGAGAGGTGAAAGTGAAAACATGGAGGGGGCAACGGGGAAAGCCTGGTGCAGGCGAAGGGGAGAGGGAGAATGAGGGGAGAGAAAGGAAGGTAGAGAGCAAGGTTCTTACAAGAGAGAGGGTCTTGAGCATGCCAACGACAACAGGGCGCAAGGCATTGGAGAGCAGCAGGCCTAGGATGGGCTGCTTGACCGACGTGGATGTGATGACTACGACGCGGCCCCACGAGGCTGTCTGCACTTGACAGTGACGTCAGTCATGATATTGGTGGAACGGAAACGAGTGTGAAGGGCTGAATACCAGTGAATGACGTAGATCATACTTGATTGATTGATGAGGATAAAGGATTCAAAAGCTGCTGAGAATGGAGATTGGAGTCATGCACACACACACGCATGCAAGACTAGAATGATGTCAAGTCCTCGTTGCTCTGCTATCCATGTACCTTCATGTGAGGCACTGCATGTTGAATGAGACGCGTGGTGGACATGAGCGTCCCCTGAAACGCCTCCTGCCATTGTGCCTCTGTGACACTATCGAATGTGCCAGGAGGAGGCCCTCCACTGTTCGCCACAAGCACATTGAGCCCACCATATGCCTGCAGATGAACAATGCCGGAGGACGGGGAGGAGTCAGAAAAAGGCACAATGGGAGTGGGATTAGGACAGCAATGCAAGAGGCCCAAGAGAGGTAGCTACAGGACATGTGTGAGAAGCTGTGTGAGATGTGCCAAACAGTATAACTTCTTGTTGCCTCAAATCCATCCAATGACCATAAATGTGTACCTTCACTGTAGCATCCACAACGGCTTGAAGCTCGTCCCCCTTGAGGACGTCCGCCACGAGTGGCAGCACCTGTGCGCCCGCCACCTCTCCGCGGATCTTCTCCGCGGCCGCCTCAATGCGCTCGGGGGAGCGCGAAAATATCGCTACACGCGCTCCCGCCCTGACTGGGAGAGAGAAGTAAAGATAAGGTTAGTGACAGCAGGTAAGAACGCGAAGCATAGGCTAATGACGGAAGACGGACAAAACTGGAGAGGAGGAAGTACGACAGGGAAGAGCGTAGGAAGGTGGAACGGATGATCGAAAATATGCTAACCTGGCGAACGCGAGAGCGCAGTGGTAACCGAGTCCCGCACTCGCTGCTGCGACTAGTGCTACCCGACCCTGGAGTCCTAGTGCAAGCGCCTCCATATGGGCTGAATGCCAGAAATCTGTCTACGAAGCACTGGCGACTACGCAACGTATTTTTGCTTGTTCAAGGCCCAAGAAGAGAAATACAATGTTGCTGCGTGAAGGATGACAGAGAGGAGACGAAATGGTTCCATCATGCTTCGAAGTACAAGTGCAAGACAGAAATTCGCCTTTTCACAGGCCGTGACTCAGTGAGGAAGGATTCACAAAACACTGCATCGAAATGATTACGCCAGCAAAGGAAAGGTTGGGTTGAAATTTCACGGTTTTGCTATTCATCAGGCCTTGTAACGCGTACGAACAGATGACTCTGTATGATATAGAGATTTTGGCCAAAACCGAAACACTTTTGCATGCTCGCTGCTCTGTCAGGGAGGGAAAACGCTCTGACTGACTGACAATCCTGGGAGTCCTAAAGTCGGCTTAGAAGTTGCCTCAATAGTCTAGTCCTCTGTTGGTCTTCTGTTGCACAAATCTCTGGCCGACACGACATGACTTCTTGCGTTCTCTGTTGCAGATTCTCAGCGTTTAATAATCTCGGTTTCACGCCAAGTCAAAGTAGTAGCCGTGTTCTTCGACCATCTTCACACAAGCTGCGTCCTGTAGTTTCCGTCTGCGACCAGATTCCGGTTACCTTCCGTGTGTCCCAATCTCGCCAGCTCTTTGCTCGGTTTCCGGTTACCATGGCGTCTCAAAATTTCGCTGACTCATCCGCCATATTTGAAGCTGCGGCTCCAGCTAAGGTGCACAAGAGCGCTGTTTGCGTGATTCCTCCACAAGAGACCTGGGGTTCCATCCAAGCTATTCGTATTGTACACGATAAAGTGAGTCGTACTTAGAGAATGAGGTGCATAATACTCTCATCGTATCGCATGCACATGTTGTTACCAAGTGTCTCCGTCGTTCCGATTAATCAACCAGACAAGCCTTTGAATCCGTTCCACCCGCTTCTGTGGTTTTCTTATCTCGGCGAGCGTAGCACTACAAGCGCTGGATGCCTCACATGAACCTGCTGTACCCATTTTGGGAAGACAATGGGGACAACTTCCAAAGCGCAGCAGAGATCATGGTAAGTCGAAATGTGTTAACTGTTTTTCGAAATGCTCTATCTTTCCTTTTCTGAAAGACCGCCTGTCGCATCTTTGTCGTGCAGCGAACAGCGCTGGCAGGTACAGAGCCATTTGAGGTCCACCTCGCCTCTTTTAACGTCTTCCACCACGGCAAGAGCTGCACTGTGTGGCTGCAGCCAACTCCCTCACCGCCTCTCATCGCCCTTCAGCGCACACTGGAAGCTGCCTTCCCTGAGTGCAATGACCTCAGCCAAATTGTGGCTGACCGCTTCTGCCCTCACCTCTCCGTTGGCCAGGTGAGGAGATTAGGAAGTCTTACAGGCATCATCAGCTCGCGTCCGAGTCAATTTATGATGACGATCATGAAGGTTCTTTCTTGAAACCTGAATTACTGGCAGTGGCGCACAAGGAAGGAGGCAGAAGCAGCCATCACTTCATTCCAGGAAAAGTGGACGCCTATCACCTTTCAACTAACTTGTGTGTCGCTTATCAGTAGGCAAGGTATGCCTTCTCTCATATTTGGATTACTGCTTTCAAGTTAATTCAACCATGGTTTGCCGCATCTTTTTCAAACCAAGACGACTTGTTTGTGTTTCAACCTCCTGCTTTGCTGTTCTTCTCATCCGGGTAATGTATTAGACGTCTCACATTTGGCTCCTGCCAATGTCACGCGGTGGTGCTGCAGGTTACCATGATCCTTTCCATGTGCAGGTGCAAGTGCCCCTAGGTGCTGTGAAGAAGGTTTCTGAAGTACATGCTAGCTGAATCAGGACCGACCACACCACCAGTTTATCAATGCATTGAAGAAGACCCAGTGCAACAACAGACAACAGTGATCACAGGTAAGATCTGGGACTCTTCAAAATGAAAGGGAAATGATTCCACCTGCATTCTGTACGTGGTCCTATGGTCTAGTGGTTATGACGTCAGACTCTGAATCTGAAAGGCCGAGTTCAATTCTCGGTAGGACCTCCTCTCGGGAAACCTTTTTATTCTCCCCTTTTTTTTTCAAACATGGACATGGATCTCTGTAACCGAGATGACCCCCCTCCCACATATCCTTGCGTAGCGGACCCTGTTCCCATCCACTCCCTCAGATCCTCAGCCCTCCTAAATCTTGTTGATTTTGCTCGCCTCATGCCTCCATGCTTGCAGGTGTATGTATGCACCCCTGCCACCTCTTGCTAGAAGTCTTCTTTATTCCAGGCATTCACATCTCAACCACTACAGGCAATTGTGTAGCCCTCCTACTCCCTGTTCTGCAGAGATGAGTTCACCATTTGCACGGTATATTACTAAAGCAAGGGGTTTCAGATTAGTAGGATGAGAGCATACTTGACAGCAGTTTATTGACTCAACCAAGCCGTGTTTCGGCAAGTCTACTACACCCTGCAACACATAATTATTCTGCCGGAGCATAGCGCCATGCAACAGTTCACTCAGCGAGTTCCTTGTCTCCAAGCAAGCTTGCCTCTTCGCCCTGCATGTCCACAACAGCAGCAGCCATGGGCACGGCTTGACCTTTCGTGGCGAGTTGGACCGCATCAGAAGTCCAGGGATGAACCACAGCACTTGCAGCAGCAGAGGTGACAAAAGCACTGCTCGGGTTGCAGCCATCTGTACAAGCATCTGTGCCAGGAATGAAGTCAATGGAGCTGCTGGGAGCGCTCAGCGCAGCAAGCGCATAGAACCCTACAGCGAGGACCAGTACAAGGCAGACAAGCATTGCCAAGTGCACGAAAGCAAATGCCAGACCCATGTGCTCCCATTTGTGCTCCTCGCAGACCAGCTTGTAATCCAGCTCCGTGGGACTGGTGCAGCAGTGCGAGGGCTGCATGAAGCTATACAGCGATGCACCTGTCACCAACAACCACGCGCCGTCCAGTATGATTCCCAAATTCGAAAGCGTATCCAGGAGGAAGCTTCTGGGAAAGGCGCCAGTGAGGAGCAATGTGAGGGCGGTGGCTGCGAGGAGGAGGACGAGGAAGATGTGGTAGCGGGCCTCGATGGGGCCGTTGTGCCCCGTGGAGTGGAAGAAGAACATGACCGCCGCACACGTGTACGGCACTGATGCAATCACATGCAGCGTGCCCTTGGGGAATGGCAGGTACCTGGAAGGAGGGTGTTACATGGCGGGCAGAACTGGGAAAAAAAAAGGTTGAGAGCTGTGCGTCATACAGCTGGAGGGTTGAATTCGTGCCACTAGAGTCGAGGCTTTGTTGCTCGCTTTAGTTGGTTAACGAACAGAGATATCAAAAAAGAAAATGCTTGGTGACTCGCCTGGTAGTTGACGGATTGAATCGGAATAGGTGGAAAAAACGGGAAGTCAAGGTCTTACCTGGTGGTGTCATGAAGGAGGAACACGCTATAGGTCACCACGAACGCGTTGTTGACTGACAGATGCTGCGAGAGATGTGGAGGGACGAGGGAACTTGCACAACTTAGATGAACCGAGGAAAAAGCAGCATCTAAAAGCGACTCGAGACTAGCTGATTTAGCTAAGCGAATGACATGAAAAGGTGGATGTAGTAATGTCTCACACTCCCCCACCAATCCGCACAGCCGCACGCACCGGGTAGCTGTTGAGCAGGACACAATACGACTGTATGAAGAGGTTATTTTGAGTCGACTCAACCCCACTCTCTCTCTCCTCTCCGCCTCACCACAGCCATACGCACCTCGTAGCTGTTCAGCATCGCATGTGACTTCATGAAGAGGTTAATCACCTCGGTAATCATGTACGCCGACCCGCCTCCCACCACCGCGTACAACTGCATTCGCGCCCAGTGCCCCGGCAGTGGCATGGGATGCCACACGCGCGCGGCGAAGGACTGCGGAGAGGCGAGGAAGTTTATAACGGAGCAGCGGAAATTCCAGAGGCCCAAGAAGAGGAACAGCGAGCCCGGAACCGCGTGTCCGTAGAAGGTCCCCATGGTTAGCCCAACGGAGATTGAATGCGCCTGCGAACCGTTGCGAACCGTTGCTTCAGTTGGGGAAGCCGGCCATGTACTCGTTTCTTGACGAACTACTATTGATCTCCCTGTTCTAGGCAAAGGACTCGATTTGAAAGTTCAACAATTAGTTGACACGAAAGTCAAACTTGGCGAGTCGCTTCGCTTGTCCAAGAACCGACTCCGGCCAAAATCTGCTGGAAGAAATTACCGGGGCTTGTGTGTAGCATGCTATAGCACGCGGGGAAGAAAGTACATGATACGTACGACAGGCTCTTGCCGTATTTTGGAGAATCTCCTGGTGAGCGGAACCCCGTCCATGTACGGATAGGTACCCCCCCCCGCCCATCTCCAGAGCGGTGAAGCTATCGGGCATCGCCAAGCCGTAGAATAAAGACGTAGAATTCAGGCACGGATAATCCGAGCAGCCACTAGGGAACCAGCACCAACGTGAAAGCCACTCTGGCAGGCGACTGAGGTGAGCTGAAAGCCATGTACGGAAATGGGAAGCACCGCAAGTTGAAACCCGGCTCCCTAAAACAACGGATTCCATAAGGTGAATCCACACAGCTGTGCAAAGCCCATACGCGCGACCCGTGGCTCAGACGGGTCTCCGAAGTTAGCCCCAATCAGCTTCATGATAGGCCTGTGAGGGATGGTGTGGCCAGCGTGTGCTGGCAGAAATAATAGTGGCGGGAACAAAGGTATGACAGTTATACCTAGTCACCGCCCACCCTCTGAAGCTTTTGGTTCATGAAGCACCCTAAACATTTTCGTCCAGATGATTAGGTCTATGAATGATGCTCTGAGCCCATATCTCATAACTCAAAACTTCTTATCAGAGCCGATGCCTGGACTATTCATTGAAATCTCCCTTGTTTCGTACTCCAATGCGTTTCAAACACTCCCACTTCGATTTCCCCACTTCGATTTCGGAAACGAACTCAACAGCCCACACTTTCAGACAAACCAGGAAGAGTTTCTCTGGAAAAGCGTGGAACAGCGGCAGTGTGTGGCATATTATCAGATTCCTTCACGCATAACGACGTGTTGCGACCCACACGGATTGGGTCGACCACCCCCCGACCCATCACTTCTAGGAAGGCTGCATCGCGGGTCTAGCCGACCAGGTCGAGCCAACCAGACCCGGTTGGGTCTGCCTGACCTGGGTCGACCAGGTCGGCTCAACCAGGCCAACCAGACCCAACCCAATCGAGCTTGTAATGAATTAGAATTCATTCCTGTAGAGGCTGCTCCTAGCGAGGACATCCCGAACTTCGCGTCAGTCTGGGTTCGGCCTACACTTCGGCCCGAACCACTTTTCCGAGTCGCTTCCGCACCAATCGCAACACATCCAAACCTCGCACGTCCCGAGGTCCTCGCCTAGCCCGGTTTCGACCCTATAAATGCATGCCTCTTTATCATTCTCGTCATTCTGTATTCGACATCCTTTTTATAAAGTCTTCCGCGCACTCTTCTTAGTACAACTCATAACAGAGCTGGAGAAGGTTACCATAGTCTGCGAACTTCAGAGTTCTCGCGCAAATGTCGCCTCAAATTCGCCGCACAGAATGATACCTTGTAATATCGATGCGAATTTTCCAGCTCACCATCCCCCCGCCCGGCAACTGCTTTCCTGGTCCCTCGAGGATGCACGGAAATCGACGGGAAATTCCGTGATTTCCCGAGTCGCGTTTCCGAAGATCTGGTCGGGTTGGGTTTAGCCGACCAGGACCCAACCCAATCTCTTTGGGTCGCAACACATCGTAAGGTGTGGCATACAGATACCGTATGGAAAAACATGAGTTCACCAATGGCATGGAACTGTATAATATGAAAGCAAGAGTTCCAGATTAGGATTAGTGTGTGCTTGACATGACCAATGCTCAACTTGAACAGGCCGCGTTCGACAAGCCCATACTCTGCGACCCATTGAATTATTATTTCTGCTGGAAGATAGCGCCATGCAACAACTCATGCAATCATAGAGCACCGTTCCTTGTCTCCAAGCAAGCTTGCCTCTTCGCCCTGCACGTCCACAACAGCAGCAGCCATGGGCATGGCTTGACCTTTCGTGCCTAGTTGGACCGCATCAGAAGTCAAGGGATGAACCACAGCACTTGCGGCAGCAGAGGTGACAAAATCACCGCTCGAATTGCAGCCATCTGTACGAGCATCTTTGCCAAGAATGAAATCAATGGAGCTGCTGGGAGCGCTCAGCGCAGCAAGCGCATAGAACCCCACAGTGAGCACCAGTACAAGGCAGACGAGCATTGCCAAGTGCACATATGCCATCGCTATCCCCATGTCCTCCCACTTGTGCTCCTCGCAAATCAGCTTGTAATCTTGGTCCGTGGGATCGGTGCAGCAGTGCGACGGCTGCATGTAACCATACAGTGATGCACCCGTCACCAACAGCCACGCGCCTTGAAGTATGATACCCAGATTCGAGAGCGTATCCAGAAGGAAGCTTCTGGGAAAGGTGGCGGTGAGGAGCAATGTGAGGGTGGTGGCTGCGAAGAGGAGGACGAGGAAGATGTGGTAGCGGGCCTCGATGGGGCCGTTGTGCCCCGTGGAGTGGATGAAGAACATAACTGCGCCACATGTGTATGGCACTGATGCGATTATATGTAGCGTGCCTTTGGGAAATGGCAGGTACCTGGAAGGAGGGTGTTACATGGCGGGCAGAAAGGGAAGGAATTAAAAATGGAGAACAGTTTCGTCATATAGCAGGACGCTATAATCCTTGCCACTATAGTCAAGCTTCGTTTGCATCACTCACTCCTAGTAGCAGTGAGGCCGAATGCTGTCAGTTGTATCTACTTTGCGCAGGGCTGTTAATTTGTATTAATGTCAAGGGGCGGAGTGGAGGCTCACAAGCAGAGGTAATGAAATGGAAACTTGCAAGGGGGCGGAGGCACCATATTTGTTGAGAATAGTGCAACAAGTGGTAGTTAGGTTTAGGGCCTAGGCTTAGTAGCCTAGGCCAAGGGGGACGAGGTAATTTGTGCCAAGAGAGAAAAATCGAGAATGGGGAGTGGTGTTCACTATAGCACTAGGGTACATATAGCAAACAGAGCATGCAAAGAAGGTGCACCACCAACAGTTTATAATAACTACACTAAACTACAGCTACAGGCAGTTACAGATATATTCTAACACT